CAAGTGCTATCGCCTTTCTCAGAAAGCAAATTAGACAAATGCATCATAACATACACACAAGCATACATGCATTAATATTGACAAAATTGTACGCAACTGGCAGAAGCTATTCCTTTAACATTATCAATGCAAACCATCTAAAATGTGCTGAACACTGATTCAGAGCTACTTTTCTAACTTTTATGATTAAACTGAGTTTTTGAGAGACAAATTCAGTTTCAAAATATAGGAAGAAAGAGATTATAACAGCAGCTAGATATAAAAGTTTAATTCTCACTTTTAATTTTTTAAGCACTAGATAAAATATTGGCTAGATGACAGTTCCATCAGCAACTTGTGACAGTGTTCTGTGTCATTTAATCATGAGGTAGGAGGAATGAGGAAACAAAATAAAAATAAAAAATGGGTCCAAACTATAGAACCAGAAGTAATGAGGACATGTATAAAACAATAGAATTATTCTGTGTTAACACGTTTTTTACTGCCAAAAGGTGCAAAGTGACAAAGCTCAACATCACCTTACAAATCAGAGGATAAAAATGTGAATCTCTATGTTCCTTTAGAACTTACTGTCTAGTCTGAAATCCCTTTTTGGGAATAATAATATATATTTTGAACATATGTTTCTGTATATAAATGTGTGTGTGTGTGGGGGGGGGGCAAAAGGGGCCCATGAAAATTTACAGTAGTTACTTATTTGAGCCCAAGAACAACTAACTCAGCAAATTTGTATAGTGTATTTATAATAAAACGTTACTACTGTTAGCATTAACAAGTTTAAGGGAAAAATGGGCGTTTCCTATTTGAAAAAAGTGTTTCCCACCTGTGTGGCACTGAGGGCCCAGCTGTGTTTTTTGGCCGAGGCCCCTGGCGCCTGCGGCCATGATTGGTGTGTGTGGTGTGTGTGTGTGTGTGTGTGTGTGTGTGTGTGTGTGTGTGTGTGTGTGTGTGTGTGTGTGTGTGTGTTGTGTGTGTGTGTGTGTCTGTGTGTACGTGTGTGTGTGTGTATTCATGAGTGTGTTTCATTGTGTGTGTGTGTGTGTCGTGTGTGTGTGTGTGTGTGTGTGTGGTGTGTGTGTGTGTGTGTGTGTGTTGTGTGTGTGGTGTGTATGTTGTTGCATGTGTGTGTGTGTGTGTGTGTGTGTGTGGTGTCGTGTGTGTGTGTGTGTGTGTGTGTGTGTTGTGTGTGTGTGTGTGTGTGTTGTGTGTGTGTGTGTGTGTGTGTGTGTGTGTGTGTGTGTTTGTGGTGGTGTGTGTGTGTTCAATGTGTGTGTTCATGTGTGTGGTTGTGTGTGTGTGTGTGTGTGTGTGTGTGTGTGTGTGTGTGTGGTGTGTGTGTGTGTGTGTGTGTGTGTGTGTGTGTGTGTGTGTGTGTGTGTGTGTGTGTGTGTGTGTGTGTGTGTGTGTGTGTGTGTGTGTGTGTGTGTTGTGTGTGTTGTGTGGTGTGTATTCATGAGTGTGTTCATGTGTGTGTGTGTGGTGTGTGTGTGTGTGTGTGTGTGTGTGTGTGTGTGTGTGTGTGTGTGTGTGTGTGTGTGTGTGTGTGTGTGGTGTGTGTGTGTGTGTGTGTGTGTTGTGTGTGTGTGTGTGTGTGTGTGTGTGTGTGTGTGTGTGGTGTGTGTGTGTGTGTGTGTGTGTGTGTGTATGTGTGTGTGTGTATGTGCGTGCTCGTGAGTGGGTGTGTTTGTGTGCTTGTGTGTGAGTTTGCGTGCCCATGTGTGTGAGTTTGCGTGCCCGTGTGTGTGTGTGTGTGTGTGTGTGTGTGTGTGTGTGTGTGTGTGTGTGTGTGTGTGTGTGTGTGTGTGTGTGTGTGTGTGTGTGTGTGTGTGTGTGTGTGTGTGTGTGTGTGTGTGTGTGTGTGTGTGGTGTGTTGTGCATGTGTTTGTGCATGTATGTGTGTGTATTTTCTTGTATATGCATGTGCAAACTTATAACCAAGAACACACATATACATACAAATAACCACTCTAAGCCACAAATACTCATTATTTCACCATACCATTTTGACACTTTATATATATATCTATGAACTGAATCAAAGGTAATACTAAAACCTATTGATACGAAACTGCTTGAATTATTTGAACTTAGTGACTGAATACAGCATTTAATCAAACTTCTCCCCTAACAAATTTAGCAAGATCTACATCTCTTCGCCTGCCTTAGTGTGTTTTGTGGTGCAAAAGAAATTTAATAACCTTCTAAATTCAAATTATAAACAAAACAAAACAATACAAATCTTGGGAGTCAATACACTCGATTCATTCAGTAGAATGTCCATTCAGCATTTTCTTTATAATTAGAAAAATTTACCACAAAAATTATGTTGATTAGTATATGACTTAAGATCCAAGGACTTCATGGAAAATCAAACAGGCTTATCAAAAATTCACTATGCCTCCAAACAGCAAAAGTGAAATTCACCTAAACTGTGTGTATGCATATTTTGTATGTCTCTACCTATGTATTCCTATTTGAAAAATGAGACTTGTATATGACAATCATGTACATTTTCTCATAAAATGTACGGACACACATCCATGCATGCACACATGCATGCACACGCACCTGCACATGCACACACATATCTAACTTATAATCTGTTACAGGCAGAGCTTTCTTCTTCATAATTCTTTACAATTCTGTACTCAATATAAAACTATCTTGATGTCAGTAATCAGAACAAAAATTACATTTTATTCTCAATTTTGAATTTTTTTCCAAGGCCACAGTAAATTCACTATCTGTCATATAATCTGGTGAAATGCTAGTTTTTGTATTTTTTATTAGAGATTAATGACAATTAAGTACACCCTAGGAAGCATCATATCTGGAGATATATTTTCATATTTTAGAATGCTTTGTCTATCAGTACTATAAATTACTCATCTTTAAATCATATATATGACATAAGCTCATAAATTACTAATGTGAAGATGAAAATATTATCCGAGAAGTTTTGACAAATTAATATTAACAACAATTTTGTGCACATGGTCTACAGTTCCCTTTTCTTTTAAATACCCTTTTGGTGAAAAAAGTTCTAAATTTGAAAGGATTAATACCTGATAGCAACTGCTTTAAGAAGTGAAACATGAACTTGTCTTCCTAAGATAAAAATGTATGGTACACAGTTCTCCTGGCACAAATATGAGGGACTACATACCTTAATCAAAACATGTATATGTGAGCATTTCAACCTGTAACCAATTGTAAAATCTTCATTCTACACGAGTTACTAGACACTGCTTTATGAGAATGAATCAACTTTCATAAAAAGTTGTAAAAATTGTACACATGTGAGCTGAGCTAGTATTCAGTAGTATATATAAATGATGCTTACAGTTACAAAATTGCAAATCTAAAGTTCAGGTATATCTCATATTGCTATAAATCTGGTGCATTTGCAAATATTTTTTATAGTCTTTACATTATAATCAATGCAATATTTTTTCAATTTAAGGAACAAAAACCTAAAGACATATAAACCAGGAAAAAATATTTAAAGTGCAGTGGGGCAATTGATATATGTACTTTATTATGCTGAAAATGAAAAATGAAAGCAATTATCATAATATGATGGTGACAGTTATAATGATAATCATAAAAATAAAAATAAAACAAATAAAGGTATGATTAATGGGTAACTTATCTACTACACAAGATGCATAATTATAAAAGTCTGTATGCCAAATATTTCTTTAAAGCATGACATAAAAACTATACATAAATAAAAGTTTACATAAATTGTTGTAATCTTTAGAAAAGGGTTTAAGATTTTCTTTTACTGTACTTCCCACATTAACATGCTGAACAATTTGTAATATTTATTTTTGCATGCCTTCCCCTTCACTTCATTGTATAACATAATACCAATGCCAATTATGAAATATATTTTCAACTCTAAAAGAAAATTCACAAACATTCATGCATGGGTACATGAACACATACTAACATAATATATCTGTAAGCAAACCCAAAATCACACACACACGAGTTCTTGCATACATACATACAGCAGGCGCAAACACAAGCATACATACACACACTTATAAAACATTATATATATATATATATATATATATATATATATATATATATATATATATATTATACATTATATATACACACACACACACATATATACATTGTTTGTGATAATATAGTTTACTGTGAATCCATAAATGAGCTGGTGGAGGTTAACTTTTTTTCCCAACATTTTTACTTTGTTGATCAGTATCTTTTAATGCATTAGATTTATAATGAATGTATCTGACAACCTAATGTTATGAAAACAGGCCCTATTATAAATAATTTGTCAAAGTATAAATGACATAAAATAGGAATAGTGAGGGAAAATCTGACATATTATGCACACAAATTCACATATACTGAATTCAAAACACCATGGCAGCTTCATCGAATGACATCCTAATGAAATAAAAAGAAAAGTCTGCATTAATCAATATGTACATTCTGTGTTGACACCTATAATTTTTTCACTTCTGAAAGAGTTTGGCAACTGTGTCCAACAACAGATGATTAAACGCAGATTTATACCAAGATATGAATTTGTAATCAAGAACAGTTGGAGTAACAATGTTTAAAAGCTATTGGTAATGAAACAGACTTGCTTAGACAATTAAAACTTTCATGAGCCATAAAAATCTGTTGGCTTGCTAGAAATACTTTAATATAAATAATTAGAAATCTGTAGGTATGCCTGAAATTATATTAATCCAAGCAATTAACCCTATGGTCTGATTTATTTGCACTGTATCATTACACAACTGTCTAAGCTTAGTGGCTAGGCTTAAGCTGTATAGAGCCAGCCCACCTGCTGTGAGTCACGATACGTTTACTTGTCATAGGCTGTTACATCATGATGGCTATAGCCGTCACCGTCACTGAGGGGTTAAAACAACAAGAAATGAATTATAACGCTAGTCTGATACCACAACTTTACACCACTGACAGAAACTGAAATATGTAAAAATATCACATATCTAACCAGATGTAAGCTGAAAATATTGCCAATTAGTTCTAACTTCAATTATCATCAATATTTTCCATAGCATTATCATTTTCCTGGAAATAAAGAAAAGGTTTTGACAAGTTATCCATAATTGTTTCTACATATATCATCTTTTACTTTACTGCTTACAAATACATAGTTAACCTGTGGCCAATCATCATCCATAATTTTTAACATAAGATGGCACAAAATCTGTACACAGGAGAAACAGCCATGGAATCATTTGACTATTTAATCCAAGGACCAATAAGGACAATTTAGTATGACAAATACAATAGTCTACAGTATTCATGCACCCATAGCCACTCACACTCAAATCCTCACATGCATACTAAGACTGTATGTATACTGAAATGTATGATTTTGTTTGTTAATTTGTTGTGAAAAACGAAACAAACGGACTATGAAGAGTCTTCACTGAAAAATATATTCAATTTAATTTTCGAACTTATAGAAAAAGGGAAAATATCATGCCATAAAGTTGAAGAAGGCCATGCTATCAGTCCTAGAAAAATAAATGCCATGTACACATTCTTACTTGCTTCCATCCAGTATCTGAGCACAGGTAATTAAGTTGGGTGGGATATCCAAGACCTGTTGTATATATTCTCTTACAATAAGCAGTATAACCATAAGCCACTCAAGCAAGACCTGTTCCTCTAACTACAAATTGTTCTAGTCTCCAGAAATTATTAATAATTGTTAAACCACCTTCCATAACCCACAAATATTATTTCAAAATCAGAAAAACGAGGGCAAAGTACTTGAGCAAATTTGCTGCATACAAACAGCAAAAATGGCTTACAGGTGTATGTCATCAAGTTAGGTGCTATATCTGAGTTCCTTTTGTGACAGGAGACTAAAATCTGTTAGGAAAAGTATCCAATATATTTCTGTTCCCTGGTGTTACAGACTGTTTAAGGCTTTAAACAAAAAATGTTATACACATAATTTGTAGAGGTTTCTCCAAATTACAATGGCTCTGAAGAGTTCTTATGTGGAAATGAGATATGGACTTCATTTTGAAAATTTTAAATTTAAAGACAAGTATACTATTTGAAACTTAAACCAGTCATCTTAGAGTAAGTCACATGTCTGATAGGAATTGAAATGTTCCTTTCCAATAGAAATCCAACTTCTAACTTGATAACATACTTCTAGTTCTGATGTA